TGTCTATATACCCTTGTACTCACACATTCTAGTTCATTTATTCTTTCTGGTATTTTCTTCATTACAAGACGTAATCTTGCATGTTGCCGGGCGGGCTACCACATCCTGGTGCAGGCCTTGACGCACATTGGCCAATCCAGGGCCATCCATTGCCGAGCAGATGGTTCTGCTGCAAGAAGCAGGAGGGGCGCAACACACCCATGCCCCTACCTTGTGCACCTTGCAGATTGATCCCATCAGCACCATGTGTGCAGGCATGCATGCAACCATGCCCGCACCCGTGGCTGGGCTGCAAGCAACAAGAGGCATGCGGCCCACATCTCATGATCACCACCATGAGCCTCCACACCCACCCACCACCCTCTTGGCAGGGCTCTCTAGGCTCAACCACCCCCTCACATGGCACACCATGGGATGATGCACCAAGGGATGACACACCCATGGGGCACACGGTTCACCATGGGATGATACACCCTACAGAACAAGCACCATCACGGTCACCAGTGAAGGTCGAAAGTAGTGGCGGTGGAGGGGCGGTATATCAGAGAGCGGGCGGAAACCCCCTGCCTGGGTCTCGGCTTACCCAGCGGGGGGTAAGCTGAAACCCACCGTCCATCACCAACCAATGAGGGCGGAACCCCCCAGGCTGGAGTCTCAGTTCAGCACTCCCCTGCCACATTGCAACACCACCAACACAACTCCCCACCACCACCTTCCATCACCACTTCCCACCGCCACCTTCCATCACCACTCCCCGCCACCACCGTGCATCACCACTCCCCCACCACCACCGTCCATCACCACTTCCCCACCACCACCGTCCATCACCACCTCCCCTCCATACCACCATCATCACCACCTCTCACCACAACCACGCCCTACTGCCCCATCCCAGTCCACCTCAAGTGGGTGTGTGGGTGCATGAGATGGGTGAGTGGCGCCGTGTGAAAGGATGAGCCCAGCCTCCCACCACTGCACCGTATCACTGGCAGATGAGGAGTGGTGATGGGGGTGGTGCTGGTGGGGAGTGGTGATGGGCGGTCAAATTGAAAGGTAGAGATGGTAGTGTGATCCGGAACAGAGAAGGTGAGAACCCCCTGGGTAAGCTGAGACCCAGGCAGGGGAAGGAGGTTCACAATACCAGAGCAAGGCAAGTGAGAGGCAAGAGAGAGGGGTTGAGAACCCCAGGTTAAGGCGAGCCTAAGGCAGAGGAGGGGGATTCCCCTGCCCCATGCTCGCATTGACCAGAGGGTTCCAACCCCCCTCCCCCCCCCTGCCCCTCGCTTGCCTTACCCAGGGTGCTCCAACCCCCTTCCCCTGCCTGGCTCTCAACATAGCCAGGGGGCTCTCACCACCCCTCTGCCAAATCCCAGCACCACCACAACCCCCTCTTTCACTGCCCATCACCTCTTCCCTCCACCATCACCACCAGCCCCAACACACCACCACCACCCCATCGCGTCATGATTCCTTCCCACCAGCACCAACACTACCCCTCCACACCACCACCACCACCACCAGCACCAGCACGACCCCTTCTCACCCGCACTACCACCACCCCTTCTCACCAGCACCGACACCACCCCTCCGCACCACCAGCACCACCCCTTCTCACCACCACCCCTCCACGCCACACCACCACCACCCCTTCTCACCAGCACCCCTCCACGTAACCACCAGCACCACCCCTACTCACCACCACCCCTCCAAGCCACCACCAGCACCACCCCTTCTCACCACCACCCCTCCACGCCACCACCAGCACCACCCCTTCTCACCACCACCCCTCCACGCCACCACAAGCACCACCCCTTCTCACCACCACCCTTGAACGCCACCACCACCACCACCCCTCCACGCCACCACCACCAGCACCACCCCTTCTCACCAGCACCTCTCCACGCCATCACCAGCACCACCCCTTCTCACCTCCAACCCACCACCAGCTCCACCCCTTCTCACCCCCACCCCTCCACGCCACCAGTAGCACCAGCACGACCACACCCACCTCGCCCCACCCACCATCCCCTCGCCCGCAAGCAGCAGGAGCAGCATGCAGCACAGACCCCTTAGAAGCAGCACCGGCAGTACCCATTGCGTTGAGGCGCCAAGTGAGGCAGGAGGCAAGCACACGGTAAGCCCAAGATCCAATTACCCCTCACCGGCGTGGCAAGAGCTGGCACGAGACAGAACCATTCGGCCGCAATGGTTCTGCCATGGGCCCATTATGCATTAACGCGCGGGTATTGCGATTGGACACAGAGTGCTTGACACGTGTGCTTGCACTGCCTCACCCAACCCCCATTGCGTATAGTACTGAAGGTGCCGCCACCAGAAGCCTGCACCGCATGCCATCCCCCACCCTGCCCACCCTGCCCCACCCACCCACCTCCATCCCCTCCCCCACGCCTTCAGCTTACCTCACTTGCCACCGCCATGCACAGCCAAGGGATGCGAAGCTGCTGGGGGAAGGGAGGGGGGTGGGGGGTGTGAGCGACTTTCCTCTGCTCCCCTTCTTTCTCCAGGGCACCAAAGGGTGGGAGGCTGCTGGGGAGAAAGAGGAGGGGGTGTGAGCAAGCCTCCTCTGCTCCTCAACTTGCTCCAGGGCACCAAGGGGTGAGAAGCTGCTGGGGGAGGCAGGGAGGAAGAGGAGGGGAATGTGGGGAATGCCGCCATACCTGCACCTATACCACACCATACCTATACCATACCAATGTGGGCGGTGGCCCCTGGGCGGTGGAGGGTGGGCGGTGGGCGGTGGCTGGTGGGCGGTGAGCGGTGGGCGGTGGGCGGTGTGCGGTGTGCGGTGGGCGGTGGCTGGTGTGCGGTGTGCGGTGGGCGGTGTGCGGTGGGCGGTGTGCGTTGGGCAGTGTGCGGTGGGCGGTGGGCTGTGGGCGGTGGGCAGTGGGTGGTGGGCCGTGGGCGGTGGGCGGTGGGCGGTGTTCGTTGGGTGGTGTGGACCTTGGGCGGTGGGTGGTGGGCGGTGGACGGTGGGTGGTGGGCGGTGGACGGTGGGCGGTGGGCCGTGGGCGGTGGGCCGTGGGCAGTGGGCGGTGGGCCGTGGGCGGCGGGCGGTGTTCGGTGGGCCGTGGGCGGTGGGCGGTGGGCGGTGGGCGGTGGGCGGTGGACGGTGGGCGGTGGGCGGTGGGCGGTGGGCAGTGTACCGTGGGCGGTGGCCGGTAGCAGGTGGCCGGTGGGCGGTGGCCGGTGGGCGGTGAACGGTGGGCGGTGGGCGGAGGACGGTGGGCGGAGGGCGGTGGGCGGTGGAGGGTGGACGGTGGCCGGTGGGGGTTGGAGGGTGGGCGGTGGGCGGTGGCCGGTGGGTGGTGGGCGGTGGGCGGTGTGCGGTGGGCGGTGGGCGGTGTGCGGTGTGTGGTGGGCTGTGTGCGGTGGGCGGTGTGCTGTGGGCGGTGGGCGGTGGGCTGTGGGCGGTGGGTGGTGGGCGGTGGGCGATGGGCGATGGGCGGTGGGCGGTGGGCGGTGGGCGGTGGGCGGTGGTCGGTGGGCCGTGGCCCGTGGGCGGTGGGCGGTGGACCGTGGGCGGTGGGCGGTGGACGGTGGGCGGTGGGCGGTCGACTGTGGGAGGTGGGCAGTGGGTGGTGGGCGGTGGGCTGTGGGCGGTGGGCGGTGGGCGGTGTGCGGTGGGCGGTGGGCGGTGGACCGTGGGCGGTGGCCGGTGGGCGGTGGCCGGTCGGCGGTGAACGGTGGGCGGTGGGCAGAGGACGGTGGGCAGAGGGCGGGGGACGACGGGAGGTGGGCGCTGGAGGGTGGGCGATGGCCGGTGGAGGGTGGGCTGTGGGCGGTGGGCGGTGGAGGGTGGACGGTGGCCGGTGGGGGTTGGAGGGTGGGCGGTGGGCGGTGGCCGGTGGGTGGTGGGCGGTGGGCGGGGTGCGGTGTGCGGTGGGCGGTGGGCGGTGTGCGGTGGGCGGTGTGCGGTGGGCGGTGTGCGGTGGGCGGTGGGCGGTGGGCTGTGGGCGGTGGGTGGTGGGCGGTGGGCGGTGGGCGGTGGGCGGTGGTCGGTGGGCCGTGGCCCGTGGGCGGTGGGCGGTGGACCGTGGGCGGTGGGCGGTGGACGGTGGGCGTTGGGCAGTCGACTGTGGGCGGTGGGCGGTGGGTGGTGGGCGGTGGGCCGTGGGCGGTGGGCGGTGGGCGGTGTTCGGTCGGCGGTGGGCCGTGGGCGGTGTGCGGTGGGCGGTGGGCGGTGGCCGGTTGGCGGTGAACGGTGGGCGGTGGGCAGAGGACGGTGGGCGGAGGGCGGTGGACGACGGGCGGTTGGCGGTGGAGGGTGGGCGATGGCCGGTGGAGGGTGGGTGGTGGGCGGTGGGCGGTGGGTGGTGGACTGTGGGCGATGGCCGGTGGCTGGTTGGCGGTGAACGGTGGGCGGTGGGCAGAGGACGGTGGGCGGAGGGCGGTGGACGATGGGCGTGTTAGGATTAAGGACGGAGTCTAGGTGAACTTAGGAGCTAGAATTACTCAAAATATATATCCGAAATTCTGGACAGAAAAGTCGTCTTCACAAGAAACGACGTCGACAAACAACTAGCCGTTGGAATGTCGCGAAACTTGGATATGTTGTAGCTCTTAATCTCAGCTACCGTTCCCAATTTGAATCATGTTGATTGATAAAGTATTCGCGACGCTATGGCTTTCGACGCACTAGGGGGTAAGCTGTAGGAGGAGAACTTAACTCAATCTCAAAGGTTCAATCAAAGTTCAAGAATCTCACAAGGAATTAGAAGGAGCAAGAGAAAGGTTGGGATAGGAAGAGAGGGATGAGAGGGAAGGTCCCAAGAGAGTCCCCAACCAAGGAAACCCCATAAGCACAAAGATTCCCTCCCTATAGGAACCTCAACTTTGACCTTTGTCCCTTCCCAACCAATCCATCCAAGTTGGCCACCCTTGCCAACCTAGCTTGGTTGTTCCCAACCTATTTGCAGCTGTTACAGTAGAGTGACAAGTTTCCCCAACCCCAAAGGTCCCAACTCCATATAAAGTCACCCCACAACTTCACTTAGTAACCGCCGCAATTGTAACGCAAGCTCATGAACTTTGAATCTTCATAGCTTTCGCGTTCTTGCTCCGATTGAAGCGATTCTTGTTGCGTCGGAAAGATCTTCTCAAGATCTATCATCACAAATACCTGCTCAAACAAAAATAATACAGAACACATTCCCAAACTCCAGAACACACACCACACAAATGCTTGCACATTCAAACCACACATGCAAGTTGAAAACATGGGATGGGAGGCAGACAGAATGTGATAGCATATGATGACATCACACAACAATCTCCCCCTCTGGCTGCCAACCATCATCCACCATACCACATCTCAAGCATGCATACTCAATGCACACTCATCCCAGCAAGCTTCATGCCCTTCCAATGATCCGCCTCCGCCAGACGCTTGGTGAAAATATCTGCTGCCTGCTGATGGGTCTTCACTATCTCCAGCCGCACCTCCTTATCAAGGAGTCTCCTCACCCAGTGCCACTTAGGCCTTATGTGTTTTGTCAGCCCATGCAGACAAGCATTCTTGGCGAGCTTCACAGCAGACTCATTGTCACAGAACACAACTGTCGGCTCCTCCTGACCAACTCCCAACTCCTCCAACAAACGCCTTAGCCACACTACTTCCTTGGCCCCATGGTGTAAGGCCATGTACTCAGTCTCATATGAAGACAATCCCACCTCATTCTGCTTCTTGCTGCGCCAGCTCACAGCACCACCTCCTAGCAAGCACACATAACCCCCAATGCTGGTGCCATCCGCTTTTACTGAGTTGAAGCTAGCGTCAGTACCTTAGGCTGAGGAATTGCAGCCCAATAGCACAATGCAATCTCATCTTCCTCAATCTGCTCAACCACACTCCCAGCCTGCACCACATTCGGCTTGCCTCTTCCCCCATAGGTCAGCCTCACCGGAGGGCGCACATCCCTCCTAGGTCGCTCAGGCGGGTGTGGAACTCGAGGTGGAGACTCATGTTGCTGCTGCTGCTGCTCCTCTACTTCAGCTGCTCCCCCTTCCTCAGTCACCCCAGACATCTCCTCCTCTGACACTGCAACCTCCACCTGTCTTGAAGGCTGCTGCACCTCATCTGCCTCCACAATGAGCGGTGTAGATGGAAGCTTCTGTTGCTGCTGCTTCCATTCCTTGTAGTACAGGGACTCAAGAAACTTCACATCCCTTGACACTGTCAGCTTCTGGGTGGTCAAGTCCCATAGCAGCCATCCCTTGTGATCCTTTGCAATCCCCAAGTGCACACCCCATCTTCCAGAAGCCTCCAACTTCCCTCTTTTTTCCTTAGGCACATGAAACACTACCATGCACCCAAATGCCCTCAGCATGTTCACAGCTGGAGCACTCCCATACCACTTGATATATGGGATCCACTCCTTATCTCCAACTGTAGCCAGCACCCTGTTCTTCACAAGGGCGACCTGCCTCAGTGCAGACACCCAAAACGGATCAGGTAGCCCTGCACGCCCAAGGAGAGTGCGTGCCCCCTCCTGCAGGGTCCTGTTGAACCTCTCAGCCACGCCATTCTGCTGCGGATTGTAGGGCACTGTCAGTTGATGCTGGATCCCCTTCCTCTTCAACTCCCCCTCAAAATCAGCTCCAATGAACTCCCCACCATTGTCACTGCGGATCACCTTCACCTTGTGTCCGCATTCCCTCTGAGCTCTAGGCATCCACTCCTTAAGGACAGCCGCTGCCACCTCCCCCTTGCTGTTCAAAGGGTAAACCCACACTGCCCGAGTGTGGTCATCCACAATTGTCAAGAAATAGCGGCTGCCTGAGAGGGAAGGGGCTCTTGTGGGCCCCACCACATCCATGTGCACAAGTGCAAGTGGGGTCTTGGCTGGTCCTGTTGCACTGTTGAAGGGGAACTTGGAGAACTTGGTCTCCAAGCATGTAGGGCAGCTCCCAATCTCCTTCACTCCCCCTTTCACCTCCAAGCCCTTCAGGCTCCCATCCTTCACCAACTTCTGTAGCATAGGGAAGTTCACATGACACAGCCTCTCATGCCATGTCTCCCAATCGGCCTCTCCACTCCTTGATGAAGCCTTAGCCCATGCCGCACTCGCATCCACACCAGCAAGCACCTCGCCATGTGTCTGCTGCTGCTGCACTTTCTTGACTGCTTCCAGGACCCCATCAGTTGGTGCAGTTGCATCTCCTCCTGCTGTTGCCTTTGCCGCTGCTGCCGTTGCTGCTGTTGGAGTCTTCCCATTCCATGGGATGATGGGCAGCTGCCACAGGTTCTTGATGCAACTGGTCTCCTCTTCCAGACTCCATAGCACCTTCTTCCCAAGCTTAGCACGGCAGCTGGTTGGTCCAAAGGTCACTTCGGCCTTGCTCTTCTGCAGTCGTCGCACAGAGAGAAGGTTAGCAGACAAGCCTTTAACCAGCAGAACATTCCCAAGCCCCACAAGCTCCCCATTAGCTCCCTTAACCTTGGCATTTCCAACACCAATGACAGGGAGCAAAGCACCTGACGCTGCTGCCACATACTTGATCTTCCCAGGGGGTTTTACCTCATCAAGCAAATCTGCCCGTGGGGTCATGTGACTGGTGCAACCCGAATCAATCACCCAGTGCGTGAGAGGGTGCATCACAACCTTTCCCACAGATCCCACATCACCCTCATGCCCATGCACATCCTCAACCATAAGAAACAAACCAGGATAGGCATTACCTTGTGCACCTTCACCTTGTGCACCTGAGCCTTGCACAGCGCCACCTTGTGCGCGTTCACCACTGGGCGGCTTCATGCCTGGAGGTGCCCATCCCTCCGGCCTGCTGAAGCACTTGAACCAAGGATGCCCGACCTTCTTGCAGTACCAGCAGGTGCCCTCCATTCTGGTACTCCCCCTGCCACTGGAGCTCCCATGCCCCTCATTATAGTCACCTCGGCCTCTACCTCTGCCAAAGCTCCTCCCACGGCCTCGGCCTCTCCAACCCCCTCTTCCTCTGCCGCGCCCTGCAGCTCCATACCCCTCAGCAGTCTTAGTGGCAGCACCGCCTCCCACATGGCGTCTGCGGAAGTCCTCCTGCAGAATCTGCTGCCTTAGCCACTCAGGTGTCCATTGATCTTGCTGAGAGTTGAGGGTGGGGATGAGGTTATCCCACGAGTTGTCCAACACCGAGATGATCTTGGTGCACTGCTGCAGCTGAGATACACTGCTGCCCGCTGCTGCCATCCTTGCATAGGTGTCCTTGATCTTGTCAAGGACCGGCTTCACATCGTCCCCTGGTCGCATGGAGATGGCAGCAAGTTCCTTCTCGAGCACGATCACCATCAGGAGAGTGTTGGGCTGAATCACATCGCGTAGTAGTTTCCACGCCCTTGGACCCGAATCATCCGCTTCCACAAGATCCTTGATGTGCTCGAACATCTCCTTGTTGACCGATTGAAGGATGAGGTCGAAAAGCACCGTGCTTTTCTCAATCCACCGTTCACGTGCTTCGCCTTCTTCCGGCATCTTCTCTTCCCCAACAGCAATCTTCAGTAGCTTGTAGCGTTTGAAGGCACTTCTCATCCGTCCGCTCCATTCCTCATAGTTGGAGCCATCCAAAGCTTCAACTTTTGATGGCGGCGGCTCACTTGTCTTCTCAGCTACAGCTCCTCTTCCATTAGCATCTCCTCCTCTCTCATTCATCTTCTCCTTGAGAAATGACGAATTTCAGCCCCCCTTTGCTGTCCACACTCAGCTCCCTCGATATTTTCACAAGTGTCGGCGTCCACGAAATTTCGGCAGAGTTTCCCTTAGCGGAAGACACATCCAACCTTTAGAACACCACTTAGGCACACCCACAGGCCATGGTGGGTCTAGAAGGGTCTTCACACTTCTGTAGACTCCTCTCAACGTCCTTAATACAGCTCTGATACCACTTGTTAGGATTAAGGACGGAGTCTAGGTGAACTTAGGAGCTAGAATTACTCAAAATATAAATCCGAAATTCTGGACAGAAAAGTCGTCTTCACAAGAAACGACGTCGACAAACAACTAGCCGTTGGAATGTCGCGAAACTTGGATATGTTGTAGCTCTTAATCTCAGCTACCGTTCCCAATTTGAATCATGTTGATTGATAAAGTATTCGCGACGCTATGGCTTTCGACGCACTAGGGGGTAAGCTGTAGGAGGAGAACTTAACTCAATCTCAAAGGTTCAATCAAAGTTCAAGAATCTCACAAGGAATTAGAAGGAGCAAGAGAAAGGTTGGGATAGGAAGAGAGGGATGAGAGGGAAGGTCCCAAGAGAGTCCCCAACCAAGGAAACCCCATAAGCACAAAGATTCCCTCCCTATAGGAACCTCAACTTTGACCTTTGTCCCTTCCCAACCAATCCATCCAAGTTGGCCACCCTTGCCAACCTAGCTTGGTTGTTCCCAACCTATTTGCAGCTGTTACAGTAGAGTGACAAGTTTCCCCAACCCCAAAGGTCCCAACTCCATATAAAGTCACCCCACAACTTCACTTAGTAACCGCCGCAATTGTAACGCAAGCTCATGAACTTTGAATCTTCATAGCTTTCGCGTTCTTGCTCCGATTGAAGCGATTCTTGTTGCGTCGGAAAGATCTTCTCAAGATCTATCATCACAAATACCTGCTCAAACAAAAATAATACAGAACACATTCCCAAACTCCAGAACACACACCACACAAATGCTTGCACATTCAAACCACACATGCAAGTTGAAAACATGGGATGGGAGGCAGACAGAATGTGATAGCATATGATGACATCACACAACAGGGCGGTGGCTCGTGGGCGGTGGGCCAGGGCGGTGGGCAGTGGACTGTGGGCGGTGGGCGGTGGACGGTGTACCGTGGGCGGTGGGCTGTGGGCGGTGGGCGGTGGGCGGTGGGCGGTGGACCGTGGGCAGTGGGCGGTGGGCATTGGGCGGTGGGCGGTGGGCGGTGGGCAGTGGGCAAAAGGCTGAGGGCAGTGGGCAGTGGGCGGTGGGCGGTGGGCGGTGGGCGGTGGGCGGTGGGCGGTGGGCGGTGGGCAGTGGGCGGTGGGCTGTGGGCGGTGGGCGGTGGGCGGTTGGCAAAAGGCTGAGGGCGGTGTGCAGTGGGCGGTGGGCGGTGGCCGGTGGCCGGTGGGCAGTGGACGGTGGACCGTGGGCGGTGGACCGTGGGCGGTGGGCGCTGGGCGCTGGGCGGTGGGCAGTGGGCGGTGGGCATTGGGCGGTGGGCGGTGGGCGGTGCGCGGTGGGCGGTGGGCAGTGGGCAAAAGGCTGAGGGCAGTGGGCAGTGGGTGGTGGGCGGTGGGCGGTGGGTGGTGGGCGGTGGGCGGTGGGCGGTGGGCAGTGGGCGGTGGGCTGTGGGCGGTGGGCGGTGGGCGGTGGGCAAAAGGCTGAGGGCGGTGTGCAGTGGGCGGTGGGCGGTGGGCGGTGGGCGGTGGGCGGTGGGCGGTGGACCGTGGACCGTGGGCGGTGGACCGTGGGCGGTGGGTAGTGGGCGCTGGGCGGTGGGCAGAGGGTGGGCGGCGGTGGGTGGTTGCCGGTGGGCGGTGCACGGTGTCCGGTGGACGGTTGGCGTTGGACGCTGTACAGTGGGCACTGGACGGTGGGCGCTGGACGGTGGGCGGTGGAGGGTGGTCGGTGTTCGGTGGGCGGTGGGCGGTTGGCGGTTGGCGGTGGGCGGTGGGCGGTGGGCGGTGGGTGTTGTGGACCGTGGGCAGTGGGCGGTGGACGGTGGGCAGTGGGCGGTGTACGGTGGGCGGTGGGCGGTGGACGGTGGGCGGTGGGCCAGGGCGGAGGGCGGTGGGCGGTGGGCAGTGGGCGGTGGCCGGTGGGCGGTGGCCAGTGGACAGTGGACCGTGGGGTGGACCGTGGGCTTCGCTTGGCTTCGCTTCACTTCGCTTGGCTTCGCTTGGCTTCACTTGGCTTCGCTTGGATTCGCTTGGCTTCACTTGGCCTCGCTTGGCTTCGCTTGGCTTTTCTTGGCTTCGCTTGGCTTTGCATGGCTTCGCTTCGCTTTGCTTGGCTTCGCTTCGCTTCGCTGTGCTTGGCTGCGCTTCGCTTGGCTTCGCTTCACTTCGCTTGGCTTTGCTTGGCTTCGCTTGGCTTTGCTTGGCTTCGCTTGGTTTCCCTTGGCTTTGCTTCGCATTGCTTTGCTTCGCTTCGCTTCGCTTCGCTTCGCTTCGCTTCGCTTCGCTTGGCTTCGCTTGGCTTCGCTTGGCTTCCCTTAACTAGACTTTGCTAGGCTTCGCTTGGCTTCGCTTGGGTTTGCTTGGGTTCGCTTGGGTTCGCTTGGGTTCGCTTGGGTTCGCTTGGCTTTGCTTGGCTTGGCTTGGCTTGGCTTGGCTTGGCTTCGCTTCACTACGCTTGGCTTCGCTTCGCTTTGCTTGGCTTCACTTGGCTTTGCTTCACTTTGCTTGGCTTTGCTTTGCTTGGCTTTGCTTGGCTTCGCTTAGCTTCGCTTGGCATCGCTTGGCTTTGCTTGGCTTCACTTGGCTTTGCTTGGCTTCGCTTGGCTTCACTTCGCTTGGCATCGCTTGGCTTCGCTTGGCTTTGCTTGGCTTTGCTTGGCTTCGCTTGGCTTGGCTTGGCTTCGCTTTGCTTTGCTTCGCTTCGATTGGCTTCGTTTTGCTTGGCTTCGATTGGCTTCGCTTCGCTTCGCTTGGCTTCGCTTCACTCTGCTTGGCTTCGCTTGGCTTTGCTTCGCATTGCTTGGCTTCGCTTCCCTTCGCTTGGCTTTGCTTGGCTTCACTTGGCTTTGCTTTGCTTGGCTTCGCTTGGCTTTGCTTGGATTCGCTTGGCTTCATTTGGCTTCGCATAGCTTCGCTTCTCTTTGCTTGGCTTGGCTTCGCTTGGCTTTGATTCGCTTGGCTTTGCTTGGCTTTGCTTGGACTCGCTTGTCTTCGCCTCGCTTCGCTTTGCTTAGCTTTGCTTGAGTTTTCTTGGCTTCGCTTGGCTTCGCTTCAATTCGAATTGCATCGCTTGGCTTTGCTTGGCTTCGCTTGGCTTCTCTTGGATTTGCTTGGATTCGCTTGGCTTTGCTTCGCTTGGCTTCGCTTGGCTTCGCTTGGCTTCGCTTGGCTTTGCTTGGCTTCGCTTGACTTCATTTCGCTTTGCTTCCCTTCGCTTTACTTCGCTTGGCTTCGCTTTGCTTGGCTTCGCTTTGCTTGGCTTTCCTTGGCTTCACTTTGCTTGGCTTAGCTTGGCTTCGCTTGGCTTGGATTCGCTTGGATTCGCTTGGCCTGGCTTCGCTTTGCTTGGCTTCGCTTGGCATCGCTTGGCTTCGCTTCGTTACGCTTGGCTTCGCTTCACTTTGCTTGGCTTCGCATGGATTCACTTCGCTTTGCTTGGCATTGCTTTGCTTGGCTTGGCTAGGCTTGGCTTGGATTTGCTTTTCTTTGCTTCGCTTCACTTTGCTTCGCTTGGCTTTGCTTAGCTTTGCTTGGCTTGGCTTCACTTCTGTTGGTGCAACCCTATGGCTTGCACTCGGCTTGTCGTCCGTGTTTGTGTGTGTGCATGCATGGCATGGAATGACTTGTGAGTCTATGTCATTGCTATCTAGTGCTTGTGTGTGTGTTTGAATGGTGTCTCACAATGTGGTGTGTGTCGGTCAAGACATTAGTGAGTTTTTACAACTCGCATGTCAAGTCGTCGTTTGCGTGTCGCATGTGTTTTTCTATTTTGTCAAGTGTGAAGTGTCCATCGCGTCGCAGGTGTGTGCAGCAAGCCCCCATCAACTCAAGAAGAATTTATCTTGAAGAACCAAGACCAAGAGCTCAAGATTTCAAGCCCAAGGGACGCGGATAAATATTAAATAGTGAAAATAGTAACGCTACTTCGTGTAGTGTTACATTTCACTTGGTGTAGCCCCTTGGAGGGTTTGTTTTGAGACTCTTCGTGGTTGGGGACTCTGTGGTGGTGTACCACCAACCTGGACCTCGGCTCTTGGGGTATGTAGAGGCTGGGAACCATCTCCCTCTCAAATTCTTCTTCCTAAGTTTTTTGTACTCCTAACACTATAGTGGCTGCTGTACCTCCTGCCAGTCAAACCGCCATAGCGTCGTCAAATCTCGATGGAATTTTATGATTCAACTTGCTGCTGATAGGCGACACCAACGCGCTCCAGATCCAATTTACAGATCACCGTTTGAGGCACACATCAGATCGGCATCAATATTTGAAGCTGGCTGACGGAATTCTGACTGTGCACATTTTCTCTCATTTTAGGCACATCTGAGCCTATTGTGATTATAACAAGTGGTATCAGAGCCCCTTGGAGCTGTCTCGACCATGCCTAGACCTGAGGAAGGGGGTGGCAGAGGTGCTGGAGGCAGAGAAGACGCCCAAGCACAAGGTCAACACCAAGATCCACCCATGGCTCCCGTGCAACCTAGCCTTGGCCCCTCTAGGGATGAGCCTAGAGTGTTTGGCCTTGACAAGTTCAACGGTGACAACTTTGCTGAGTGGTCCTTCAAGATGGAGAACATCTTTGACCACTATGATCTGCTGGAGGTGATGGAAGGAACGGAGAAGCGCCCCGAGAACGACCCGGAGAAGAGCCCGTGGGTGCGGAAGAGCGCACAAGGCTATCTTCTACTTGGGCAAGCGTTGGGGAGCAGCCAAATCCGTCACATCAAGCCTTTTCAGCGTGAACCAGCAAAGGGACCAAAGGCATGGGCTGCTCTCAAGGGTGTACACGCTCCTGCAACAGCGGCGGTGGCTGTGGTTTTGGAGCGGCAAATGGCGGCCCTTCGAATTGACGAAGGCGAACCGGTGGAGGACGGAGTGCAGAAATTCTTCGACTTGTTGACACGGCTTGAAGGAGCTGACCTGAACTACAGTGACCTTCAAAAGAAGACCAAGCTGCTGGCCTTGCTTCCGGACTCATGGTCCTCGCTCATCATCAACCTAAATCGAGATCTGCCCCGCCTCTCGCTCGAAGATGTGAAGCGGGAAATCTTACAAGAAGATTTCCGTCGTCGTGAATTGGCGGGTACCGATGGTGCCGGAGTTGCAAGCATGGGCCGTGGGCACGGCCGTGGAAGGGGCAGAGGGCGAGGAGGAAGATTTGGCAGCAGCAACTTCAATGGAGGCCGTGGTAATGGAGGATATGGCAGCAACAACAACAACAATGGCTACGGGCGTGGGCGCGGTCGATTTGATGGCGAATGCCACTTTTGCCACAAGACCGGCCACATGTGGAGAGATTGCTACAGATTGCCTGATGGATGGACCCCTTCTCAAGGCCAAGAGGGCAGAGGAGCAAGGGGAGGAAGAGGCAGAGGTCGTGGAGGCCGTGGTGGTCGTGGAAGCGAAGCGGCATGCATGAAAGGTGGAGACTACGAGACGGGCCCGAGTGAAGATCGATACCCAGGCCAATTCTTCTTTGTCTCCACGCAAGCGGCAGCTGCAGCAGGAGGTGTGGAAGGCTTTGAGGAGCCAGCTACTGTGGGAAAGGTCACCCTTCACTCTCTGGACTTTTGGGTGATCGATAGCGGCGCCACCTATAGCATGACACCTCGTGCGGACTTGCTCACCGAACTCGAACCGTCGCCGGTCAAGCATGTCACATCGGCTTTGGGGCAGCGAGCAGAGGTGAAAGGCATGGGCAAGGCCATGTTCAAGGGTGCTGATGGGAAGATGGTGGGCCTCAAGAACGTGCTTTGGGTGCCCAACCTTGCAGCCAACCTGATTTCTGTGCGGCATTTGCAAAAGGCCGGCATGGACACATCTTCCAAGGGATCCAAAACTTATACCGCGCGGCTTGGTGAGCGGAAGCTTTGGGACCTTCATGAGGACAGGGACATCTACAATGAAATGTGGCAAATCCCAGTGGTCCCCATGCCTAAGGAGAGGCAAGTGGCAGCAAGCATCAGCACCAAGAGTGAAGCGGTTGGTGGCGGTGATCACGGAAAGCAAAGTGACACCAAGAGTGACTCGAACGAGTGCAATCTTGGAGAGACCAGCAAGGCATGTGAATCCAAGGAGAGTGGTGCAGCAGCCAAAGGTGGTGGAAATGAGGAGGAGAATCATAAGATCAGCAAAACAGCAGCGGCGAAGGAGAAAGGAGAGAGCTTGTGGGGCACAATTGCGAGTGCCGCTTTCTCCAACCCGACCTCCGCTACGGGAGAGTGTGATTGGCTGACCTTGCATCGGCGAATGGGGCATGTGGCATTGCCCATTTTGCAGCAGATAGTCAAGCAAGACATGGTCAGTGGGATACGTGTCAAGGGGGAGCCCAATGAGGTGCTTGGCTGTCCAACATGCATGCAAGCCAAGTTCACCCGCTACCCGTTCCATAGCTCGGAGACAACGGCGAAGGCACCACTTGATGAGGTGGTGATGGATGTGGTGGGTCCCTTGAAGCTTGGAGCTGCTGGAGCTGAGTACTTCCTCACCATTGTGGACGTCTACACTCGCATGACTTGGGTATATGTGCTGCCCAAGAAGAGTGACGTGGCTGAAACGGTGAAGACCGATTGGTTGCCGATGGTGGAGCGGCAACAAGACCGACTTGTGAAGGCGATTCGCACTGACCGTGGGGGAGAGTTCCTGAGCAAGAACTTCTCAACTTGGCTGAAGAAGCAGGGCATAAGGCACTCTCTTACCATGCCCTACTCTCCTGCAATGAACGGCATTGCCGAGCGTGCGAATCGGACACTCACGGAGACGGCTCGGGGACTTCTCATTGAAGCCGGTCTTCCCAATTACTTTTGGCCGGATGCGGTGCGGCATGCTTGTGTGGCCAAGAACAGAGCCTTGACTCACGTGGGAGAAGACAAATGGGTGCCCTATGTGGAGTGGATTGGAAGGAAGCCGAAGGTGGATATGCTTCGGGTGTTCGGGTGCATGTGCATGGCACTTGTGCCTAAGAAACTTCGGCACAACAAGCTTGATGCCAAGGCAACATGGGCCGTGCACTTGGGCATGGCTCAAAACAGCAAGGGATGGCTTCTTTGGGACCCATTTACCAAGAAGTTCCTGGTGAGCAGAGATTGCAAGTTCATGGAGAACTTACCGTACAAGGAGTGGAAGGCGGAGAACCAAGCGAAGATTGGTGTGCGGCTTGGAGAGGTGAAGAGTACCGGCTTGGAGCATGTGGAGCTGCCCTTGGAGCTGAGTAGCAGCAGCACTATCACAAGGCAATCTCCTCAAATGAATGGGGAGAAGAGGAGGAGGAGGTGCAGCAAGGTGATGAGCGTACACCGTCACTTCCGCCTCGTGCTACAAGTGCTCGCGGGAACCGAGCAGATTTGCAGCAACGCCATGAGAGCATCCAAGTCCCTGCAGTAGAGGAGGAAGGAAGGGGGAGAAGGAGGACTCAGCCCCCAATAGGTTGAGCTATGAACGGCTTGGAGGAGCAGCCAACTCAACCTTGACCGGTTCGGCTCTCATGCTAGGCGATGAAGCGGAAGATGAAAGCGAGGAGTGCGCTTTTGCCTTCTTCTCTCCGGTGGAGATACCGGGGGAGCCTACAAATCCCAAGGAGGCTTGGGAGGGCCCCAATGGGAAGGAGTGGAAGAAGGCCTCAGATGAAGAGATGGGGAGCATCATCGAGAACGACACGTTTGACTTGGTGAACCTACCCCCGGGGCGTAAGGCGATCTCTTCCAAGTGGCTCTTCAAGCGCAAGACCGACGCCGACGGCAACATTGAGCGCTACAAGAGCAGACTTGTAGCCAAGGGGTACCAGCAGCAGGAGAAGAAGGACTACAATGAAGTATATGCTCCTGTGGTAAAGGGTACAACCCTTCGAACCCTCTTCGCCGCGGCGGCCATCAAAGGATGGGTGGTGAAGCAAATGGATATCGTAACGGCCTTCCTCAACGGAGTTTTGGAGGAAGAGACCTACATGGAGCAGCCAGAGGGGTACAATGATGGGAGTGGCAGAGTGTGGAAGCTGAAGAAAGCACTCTATGGCCTCAAGCAAGCCCCTAGGCAATGGTACATCAAGCTGCGGGAAGTCTTGGAGGCGATCGGTTTCACTCCCTCAACGGCCGATCAATCATTGTTCATGCTTGGCGAGGGGGAGCAGAGGAGCTTCATGGTGGTTTATGTGGATGACATCCTCATATTCTCACCCTCCTCTGACCTTGTGAAGGAGGTGATGCTGAAGCTTCAAGACAAGTTCAAGTGCAAGACCCTTGGTGACGTCAACTACTACCTTGGGCTTCACATTGAGCGAGATGTGGAGAAGCGGTGGATGCGAGTGCATCAAAAGAAGTACTTGGAGGCCTTGGCTGCAAACTTTGGAAAGAGTGAAGGTCATGTGGCTACTCCTCTTCCCTCAGGGTTCAAGTGTGTGAAAGGACCAGCAGAGGAAAGTGTTGGTGAAGAGGAGAGGCGCCGTTTTCATTCCTTGGTGGGCAGCCTCATGTATGCGGCCGTTCACACAAGGCCGGATGCAGCCTTTGCTACCGGACAGCTAGCTAGGGTTGTCCAATGCCCTAATGAAGAGCAGGTAGCAGCTGGAGAGAGGGTGGCCAAGTACCTTGGCCAAACAGCAACTGTTGGACTGCAATACTCCGCGGCGGCACAAAGGCGTCAAAAGGGTGCGGATGGAGTCGAACCCGGGAGGCTCTTTCTCACCGCCTTCTCTGATGCATCTTGGGCATCAGAACCAGAGGACATGACAAGTGTGGGAGGCTTCATCTGCTGTGTTGGTGGAGGACCAACAGCTTGGGAGAGCAAGAAACAAGTGGACCAAGCATTGAGCTCGGTGGAGTCCGAGTACATGGCACTCTTCCGTGCCATAAGAGAGGTTGTGTGGCAGCGGCGTTTGCTAGCTGAATTGGGGGAGGAGCAGCAAGGACCTACCCCCTCTACTGTGATAGCCAGGGTGCTATTGCATTGGCTAAGAACCCCGTTCTTCATGGCCTTACCAAGCACATGAAGGTGAAGTGGCATTGGGTGAGGAGCATGGTAACCGCGGGTGAAGTGGAGTTGCACTACGTGAAGACGACGGCGCAGCCGGCTGATATGATGACCAAGAGGCTGGTTGAGCAGCAGCATTGGAAGTGTTGCAAGCTTGCTGGGATGGCTCTGAACTAAGGGGAGCAGATTCTAAGGCCAACAATCCGAGGGGGAGTTTGTTGGTGCAACCCTATGGCTTGCACTCGGCTTGTCGTCCGTGTTTGTGTGTGTGCATGCATGGCATGGAATGATTGTGAGTCTATGTCATTGCTATCTAGTGCTTGTGTGTGTGTTTGAATGGTGTCTCACAATGTGGTGTGTGTCGGTCAAGACATTAGTGAGTTTTTACAACTCGCATGTCAAGTCGTCGTTTGCGTGTCGCATGTGTTTTTCTATTTTGTCAAGTGTGAAGTGTCCATCGCGTCGCAGGTGTGTGCAGCAAGCCCCCATCAACTCAAGAAGAATTTATCTTGAAGAACCAAGACCAAGAGCTCAAGATTTCAAGCCCAAGGGACGCGGATAAATATTAAATAGTGAAAATAGTAACGCTACTTCGTGTAGTGTTACATTTCACTTGGTGTAGCCCCTTGGAGGGTTTGTTTGAGACTCTTCGTGGTTGGGGACTCTGTGGTGGTGTACCACCAACCTGGACCTCGGCTCTTGGGGTATGTAGAGGCTGGGAACCATCTCCCTCTCAAATTCTTCTTCCTAAGTTTTTTGTACTCCTAACACTATAGTGGCTGCTGTACCTCCTGCCAGTCAAACCGCCATAGCGTCGTCAAATCTCGATGGAATTTTATGATTCAACTTGCTGCTGATAGGCGACACCAACGCGCTCCAGATCCAATTTACAGATCACCGTTTGAGGCACACATCAGATCGGCATCAATATTTGAAGCTGGCTGACGGAATTCTGACTGTGCACATTTTCTCTCATTTTAGGCACATCTGAGCCTATTGTGATTAT